AATTGAAATATTATGGAGTGGGGTGAAATTCTGATTGGCTAATTTGAATTTCACGCATGTAAATTTGAATTTCACACGAATTCACATAATTTCATTTTCACGTACAACATTACTAAGGATTTCAGGGATCAATATTGTTGGTTTAACATCACAATTGTGTTACCAATGTAATATGATGATGATATTCATTTGTCTCTAGATAAAAATAGTTAATATGAAACTCATTTACATCAGATCTAGTATGGAGCCCAAGAATTATAGTACTATCAGAAATATTTTGAAGAAAGAGCAAGGTGAAAAAATTGCACCTTATATTTTCAAAATAAATGATACTCAAAAACTAGAAGCTTATCTAAGAAAAGAAAGGATCACTTATGAGATTTACCAAGAAGAAAGAAAAAAGAATCAACATTGAGAAAAGAAAGCAGAATGAAAGTGTACTTTTACCTAACAAAAAGCAGAAATCTTTGGAAGAAGGAAAATAAAATGCAATGAATCCTATTAATACATATTGATCTATTTTTTCTTTTTAGTTCTTTTAGCAACATAAACCATAGCAATTATAAAACCTAAGATTAAAGCTACACCTGCAAATAGATTTATCATCACCCTTTTCTTCTTTGTTCTTTGAAATATTGTTATATTCCTTTGGCAAAGTCTTCATCTTTTAAATTACTGACACTAGTTTTCAAATGGTAGATGTTATCACCTTGTACATGTTGATTGCATTTATAATCAGGGAAGACATAAAATTTGTCTGTTGAAAATCTTTTTCTTACTCTTCTGATAATAATATATAATCATCATCAACATTATTATTATTATGCTTGCTATGAGTAGTATCATTGTGCATTAAATTTATTGATTCCAAATTTTTTTGTTCATTAAAATGAAGTTGATCAGGTTTATTTTTGTTTATCTTTAATAATTTTTCTTCTTGAGATTTTCATTTATGTTACTTCTATCATAATGCATTATTGTTGTGCTAGAGTTAGAATTCATGTATTTTTGCCTTTAATTACTGGAGCTTTTATGGTTCTTCAAGATAAATTGGGGGATAATATAATATTTCCCTTTCTTTTTAGTGAATTAAAATGCTTTAATATGTTTAATGTAAATATAAAATAATGAAATATACAAATATATGTACATATATATTTCAATTGATCTTCATCACATCTGCTTTTTGATATGATAGAGAAACATTTTTAATGGATATACCATAAAAGGCCATGTATTATTTAGTTGGTTTCAAGGGCGTGTTCCAAATGAGGCCATTTTTGGATAATTACAAATCACAAAAATCTTATTGGCTATATGTAGAAAAGAGCACAAGTTGTACTGACAAAAATCAAAAACTGTTACAACAACATCTCATCTCTATTCTAAGATTAGTATTTATTATTTATTATTTATTTTTTCTAGCAATTTTATCTATAGAAAATTGTATAAAATGTTCTCATGATTATGATGGGCAATGAATTGTGCATTTTATGCACTCCATTTCTTATATATAACAATAAAAAGCTTAATATTTTATCTTAAAATATAGTTGTATTCGATACATTTTATACTCTATATACCTCAGATGTTTGTGATGATGGTGGCAACTGTGGTGATGATGGCGATTGTGGTGATGGTAATGATATTAATGACGACTCCTATAAATACAAGTAAAAAAATTAAATAAAATGTCATGTTTACTATTAATGTTTCAGTTTATGCTTACATTGTTTTTGCAACGTTTCTTTGGTAATGGTCCAATAACATAGTTTATTGGCCTTCTATTTCGAAAATTGTATTTATGATGAAGGTTGTCTGTTGTTGCAGTTGTTGTTGTTGTTGGAAGAGAGTCTTTGGTAGTTATAGCAGTTGTTGTTGCTGCTGTTGTTATTGGAAGAAAGTTGTCAGTAGTTGCTGCAGTTGTTGTTGCTGCTATAGTTGTTGGAAGAAAGTCATCATTAGTTACAGTTGTTGTTGTTGCAGTTATTGTTATTGGAAGAAAGTTGTCATTAGTTACTGTTGCTGCTATAGTTGTTGGAAGAAAGTCATCATTAGTTACAATTGTTGTTGTTGTTGTTGCTGCTGTTGTTGTTGGAAGAGAGTCTTCAGTAGTTATAGCAGTTGTTATTGGAAGAAAGATCATTGGTGATGGTGAGGTGGGGAGTATACATGAAGTTGAAACTATTTCGACCAGTTGCAGATCTGGTTGAAATAGGGTTGAAATAAGGTCAAAACTGATTTTTACTATGTAGTTGCCTTAATGATGGTGGCCGAAACTAACCCATAGTTTAGGCATTTAGGCAATTTCGGTTTAGGCCTAGTTTCGCCCATGAAGTTTTTCTGGCGAAATTGGCAAAACTTAAAAATTGCCTAAACCGTGGGCGAAACTCCTAAACCATGGGCGAAACTCCTAAACCGTGGGCGAAACTCCTAAACTTGGGCGAAACTCCTAAACTGTGGGCGAAACTCCTAAACTGTGGGCGAAACTCCTAAACTGTGGGCGAAATTCCTAAACTGCAAAACTTATTAATATTAGTGTTTAAATTTCTACTATTCATGTAATGACCTGGATTCTTAAATAAGCATTTTCTCGTCAATGTCCAACTACAACTTTGTCTGTTTATTTTTTGCTTTTTTAATGGTGGTGATAGACAAAACAGAACAATATAGGGATGTGTTAAATTAATTTTATTATGTAAATCTACACAATTAATAAATTTTTTTTCTTCATTATTTTATTTTAAATACATTCATTCATTAATTAAACTTTAAAAATATGGTTTTAAAAGGATTTTGATAGCATTGTTAAAACACACACAAATTCTTTCGTTCTTTTGTCCATTTGGAACAATGTTTGGGACTTGAATTCCTAATTGTCATCTCTGTAATAAATGATAATCAATCATGCAGAAAATTAATTATTATCTTCCCACATTATTATATTTTTTTTTCTTATCATATTTTCACAAATGTCAAACCCAATTACACCTGATTCTTCAAGTTCTAATACTCAACAAACTTCTCTTTTGCCTCCTCTATCTTTTTCACATTCTCTTTCATCTTCTCCTCCATCGCTTTCTCTAACACCTATTAATAATGAAATAGATACACAAAGAAAAAAAGGTGGACGTCCACATGCTGTAGTATGGAATTACTTTAATAAAGGAATAAAAATTTCTTCTGGTCATTACATTGCTGATTGTAAAAGTTGTGGAAAGCATTGGAATAAGGGTTCTCCCACTATGATGGAACATCACTTAGCTTTTGAATGTCCAGCAGTTAATGACTCAGTTAAATATGCCTTTCTTGAGGTTATTTCTAAACGTGATAATGAGTCAGTAAATCAATCTAACAGAAGAATTTGACCATCAAACCAAACTGGTTTAGAGGATTTTATTGAAAGTACCAAATTAACAACAAAAAGAAAACAAGATATTGATCAAGCTTTAACCAAAGCTGTTGTTGTCTGTAATTTATCTTTTCAACTTGTAGAAAACCCATACTTTATTGAATTCATAAAGCAGCTGAGAACAGCATACGAGCCTCCTTCCAGAAAAATGCTTTCTGATCGTTTAATTAATGAAGAATTGGGAAGAATCACTGTTAAAATGAATAAGCTTTTAGAAAACAGCGAAAATTTAACATTGGGTGGTTATATAAATTTAATTATAATTTAATTTTTATTAAATTAATTTTTATTTATTCATTTTTGTTTATTAATTAATTTTTATTTATTTTAATAGCCCTGGACGGGTGGAGTAACCCAAGAAATAATTCTCTTTGGAACTTTGTGATCCTTACCTCTGATCATAAAGAACATCTATATAAAATTAAGGATTTATCATCATTTAGTCACACTGGCGAGTACCTTTGTGAACAAATTAAATGTATCTTTGAAGAAGTTGGAATCAATAAATTTGTAGCCATTGTGTCTGATGGTGGAGCAAATGTTAAAAAAGCAAGGGAAATGATTCATGATGATTTTCCATTCATACTGAATATTCGATGTGTTGCTCATTGCTTGAACCTGATCACAAAAGATATTGTGGCACACAAGTTCCCAAAAAAAATAATTAACTATTGCAAAGTTTTAACAAGTTTTTTTAAAACATCTCACCGTCCTGGAGAGTTACTGAATCAACTAATTAAAGAAAAAGGCATCGAAGGTGGTGGTCTAAAAACTTTGGTAAAGACAAGATGGATCACCACATACGAATGTTTAGCATCGATTTTACGTTTAAAACCTTGCTTTGAAGAGGTAGTTAATATTTTATTTTTAAAAAAATTTTTATAAGGAATAGTTAAATTAAATATAATTTAATTAATTATATTTACCTTGTAAAGATAATTTTGAATCATCGTGATATTATCAGTAATAATTCAGTAAAAGTGATACTACAAAGAAGAGGGTTCTATGAAGATATACATGACATAATTATGGTGGTAAAGCCAGTAAAAGAACTCATAATAAAGCTTGAAAGCAGAACTGCGAATCTAGGTGAATGTTATTTTAGTTTGGTCAAACTTGCAGCTTCTGTAAATAGGCTTTCACTTGAACACCATCAAAATTTTCGTAATCACTGTATTAATAATTTAAACAAAAGATTTTTGGAGTTTGATTTTGATGAGTATTTATTGTCCTATTTTTTACATCCAGGTTTCAGAGGTAAATAAATAAAATAAATAAAAATTAAGAAATGATTGATTATTTTTATATTTATCTCTCTTTACCTCTTACTTATCTTTTTGAAAACAGGCACTGGTATTAAATTTGGAGAATTTCATCGTGTTGCTAAAATTGCTGCAAATATTTGGGATCATATTTATTCACAAAAATCACATACAAAAGATATGACTTCGAATCAAAGTTCAAAGAAAAAAATTAAATTGGGAATAAAAGAAAAAATTCCTTCAAAGTTGGAAACTGGTAAAGCTTTAATGAGTCAATTGATAAACTATAAAGGAAATCAGGATCCTTATAACATTCCATATGATCCAAGTCTAATGACTCCTTATAGTTGGTGGTCATGTATTGAAATAAAACCTAATTATATTCAACAATTGGCTAAAAAATTGTTTGCTATTACACCACATGCAGCTTCTTGTGAAAGGATTTGGTCAACTTGTGGATGGCTATATGGGAAAAAAAGGTGCAATTTAAGTACTGAGCGTGTTGAAGCATTAGCCAAAATTCATGGTTATTATGTCTCAAATTGCAAGGAAGAATTGAAATTAGCAGGAGAAAATATTTCTGAAAATGAAATATTGGATACTTTTTTGGCAGCTCAAGATGATAATGAGGATGATGATGAGGATGATGATGATATAGAAGAGTCTTCATTAGAAGAGGAAAATAATGATATAAATGCTAATGAGGGACTTCCAGAGCCTTACATTTTAATTATTCAAAATACAATGGATTTATCTCATTCTAATTTTCAAGATCTAGATGATAATGATGAAAATAGATCTGAGTATTTATCTGATGAAGAAAACGTATTAGCTAATGATGAGTATTATGAAGAGGAGGAAGAATATAATTCAAATGAATTGGCATCATCATTTATGACAGCATTACATAATTCATAATTCCAATTTGTAAAAAAAAATTTTTTTATAATTATTATTACATTATTTTGCTGTACATATTAGAAAGATTTTTTTGATTTTCAGTTGTTTTGGAAATATTTTTTATAATAAAATTATTTTATATAGATTAATTAATATATGTAAAAGTTTTGTTATTTATGAATTTTTTAATCATAGGTTTGACAGTTTAGGAGTTTTGCCCACGGTTTAGGAGTTTTGCCCACAGTTTAGGAGTTTTGCCCACAGTTTAGGAGTTTTGCCCACAGTTTAGGAGTTTTGCCCATGGTTTAGGAGTTTTGCCCACGGTTTAGGATTTTGCCCACGGTTTAGGCAATTTTTGAGTTTCGCCACTAGTTTAGGAGCCTAAACTCCCAATGTCTGTGGGCGAAACTATTTCAGATTTTCTAAAATAATTTTGGCCACCATCATTATATTTACCCACATAAGCCTAATCAGCTGGAATTTCTTGTTAAAAAAACCAGTATTTTGTTATCTTATTTCCAAGAAATATCAGCAAAAGTTATATGCTTCAACCTGATCAAGTTAATCCACCTTTTTCAAAGAAATCACCCCATATTATTTAGCTTCACTTAATTGCATTGTGGATATAAAATGCTTACCAACTGGTTATCATACATAATGTATACCATCTCTTAATATTTGTGATCATTGTAAAGAAGCATTTTCTAATAA